CCTTTTTTCTTTTTTTCTCCTACATGGTGATTTGAGTGTGGATCATTGGGAGGAGTTTGTGTGCTGTAGTTCAGGAGCGCTTGTCCTGGGATTCTAATGTTTCAAGATTAAGGAGAATAAATCATCACAGTAGTCTGATTCATTTCTTGGAAAATTATCCATTAAAGCCTAGTGTGCCAACCATGAGAGTGGGAGGCAACACTTTTTGCTGAGTGCACACCTTAGAGGGGAGCACTGCACACATATTCATGTATTTATTTTTTGCACAAGTTTTACTCACAGGTTATCGTTTTGTGGACTGATTCATTTGGACTTTCTTTTTGGAATATCATTAATTATTAATTGTTATTTCATCAATTATTTATGTGCAAAATATCATTTATTTTATTTATATATTTTTATAAGAGTTCCCTGCACGGACAATTGATTTATGCGCCACCTGAATACTTTTTGAAGTGTTTTCTTTCTTTGTGATTATTTTATTTTTAAAGTGGCAGCATAGTGGTTATACAAACACACGTTATATAGTAGTGATAAGTATCACTCATTTACACGCTCATTAGCGCAGTTTGTTGGTTATACACCTTCACTATTTTCACAATAAGCAATTCATGTCTCTTAGACAGGTTCACACTGACAACATTGATCTTTTTAGCTGTCTTCCCAATGACCACAAGTGTAAGGCCCCTTTCACATGGGGTGGATCTGTCAGCACAATCCACCTGCTCAGCGAGGGATCTCTACGCTGATCCCCACTGAAGGTTGATGACAGGTCTCTGTCCACTCTGCTGCTGCAGAGCAGACACAGACACTGCCCACTGATTTCAATGTGATGGTCGGATGGAAACGGACTGCCAGTCCATTTTCAACCGATTGTCATACGATTCGCTGGATAGATGGGAAACGTCCGTTTTTGGCGTACAGGATTGGATCATATGCCGGCAGGTCTATAGAAGTCTATGGATGGACCAATTGGGTCCTCCTGAAAAACAGACAGGCAAACTCCATCTGTCTGCTCGTGTGAAAGGGTGCCTTAGGGACATTTTTCCCACTGACCATTACACTAATGTATCATGAGATGTAGATATAGTTATTTTGTAGCAGGGGTTTCCTGAGACTGGAAAGGTATTTTGAAAATCATGTGGAAAAGGTTCAGAAAGGCTGCTTTAGTTATATCACTTTTAATAACACATCTAATTTTGAGTCTGTTCACATATATGCAGTGCGGTATATCACATGCGATTCACACAAGAACTGCACTGCATTCCAGGGCAAATCACATGCGATTTGTGTGGAAAACTTTCAGGGTGTTGTAGACATACACACCTGCAGCGGTTCACATGAATGGGGTGCGATTCTGATGCGGGACAGGATATTAGAAATGGCTCAGGGACACAAACAGGAGGCATCATAAGAGAAAAGATGGCTAAAAAGCCATACCAACATTTTGCTAAAAAACGAAAAACACATACAGAGGAAGAACCTAGCTTCAAATTTGCCAACATATATCTTTAATAGGAATCATGTGCACATTATACAAGTTCCGCAGTAAGATTCAGTCAGCACCTTCCCAGACTTTAATCAGCTACAGAAACTTTGTAATTCCTCTGTGTCGCTGATCCAATGGATGAGTTGGACAGTATTGAGACAGAACAGGCATACCAACAACAAGAGCATTAAAAAAAATAAGTTCCATATAATACAAGCCATACTGTTATCTGCATTTTTATTGTAAAGTACGCTCATTGCACTATACACTATGAACAAAATGTTAACAGCGATGGAAATTCTTAAAAATATATTCTGGCTTATATGTATTACTTAAATAACCCTAGTATATTGTGTGCATTGCAAAAAGCTCTGAACCCACTGCACATTTGCCAAAAGTAATTTCTTCCCACTGAGGGAAACATAATAGTCATATAAATTTACAACAGGAACACCAAAAAATTGGTTACCAATAATAATTTAGCACCAAATTGCTAAAATTCCCTTTTAAATGTACACTTTACCAAGTTTTTGTTTCCCCCTCTTTGGAATATAAATAACTTTATATATACAAAAGGTATAATATACATATATAAGCGAATGAGTATATTTTAGGTTTCACTATCTACAGTCTTTTAGTTTTATTAGGACTGTGTTGCAAGCAGGAGAACACAGTTCCTGTACCTCCACACAGTTCCTGTACCTCCAGCACTGAATTTTATGTAATGGCAAAACGTGGTGGGGTGTGCTGCAATGTCAATTGATGCTGGCTGCTGGGGAATCTATTGTTGCTAGAGGGGATCTGTTTTTGCAGGTGCAAGAGGGTCTATTACTGTTGCAGAGGTCTACAATTACTAGTGACGGATCTATTGTTACTGGGGTCAGTCCTATGTTGCTGGGGGGTCAATTGTTGCTGGGAGCAATCTTCTGTTGAGGGATAGGTCTATTGTTGTTGGCTGCTGTAAGGTCTGATACAGGGGGGTCTATTGCTGCTGCTGGGGTCTGTTGTTGCTGGGGGGGGTTGTTGTGGGTGGTCCATTGTTTCTGGAGGGTCTATTGTTGCTGGCTGCAGGGGATCTATTTTACTGCTTTTCTTTTTCACATTAGCAAATTCCGTACAAATTACTTGGCACCACAAAATATTTGGTTCTATATTCTATAAAAGGGGTGGTTCAGGGAGGTTGGTAGGGGGTGGAACCAAGGAATGGTGCTCGTAGGAGGGTAGAGGTGTAGACAAGGGGCGATTTGGAAAGGGGGAGTTCCTATTCTCTGAGAAAAAAAAACCCTGTGTATGCTCATAATGCTTTGAACAGATTTCCATGTCCTATAAAAAATTATACACAGGAAATGCAAAAAAACAAAAAATATGCAGCATACAGTGACTTAAAGCAACAAGACATGTTTCGGGTTACTAATCAGATCAATTAAAGTTTAAAGCCCGACTCCAAGTAGAATTAAAAGACAAAAGAAATGAATCTCTGTATTCACCAATACATCATTCCATTGTGTTAATGTAAGCAGTACAAGTACCTGAATTAGAAATGGTATCCATTGTACAGCAGAGCCCAGACTTGGAAAGACAGAAGCAGCTCAAGGAGCCAATCAGTTGTGCAGCAGTGTTCATGTGCAAACAAGGGATATGCTGATATGAGAAGAGAGCAGAGTGGAACAGAGATGAGCTTATCAATCTGCTGTTTCACCTTTCACTATCCAATTACTGGCTGTGTGTGTAAGGCAGCCCATAGGTAATTCACGATTTTTTCGTTCAACCAGCTAGTTGAATGAAAAAAAATACTGGTTTCTCCCATCAAACACATTCGAGATGGATGGGGAATTCCCTACTTAGTCTTTGTATTCTGACAGCCAGGAAACTTTCCTGCTATCAGAATACACTGATCAGAGTTGCAGTCTATAGCCCACGGTGCTGATTGAGTGGAAATTTCCCAACAGGGCTTTTGTACAGAAGATTGATTAACGTCTGTACAATCAGCCTGCCCATACACGGATCAAAATTTGGCTGGTTCCTGTTTAACTGGCCAAATTTTGATCCATGTATGCCTGGTTTTACTTAACTACAGAATAGGTCAACCAGGTTTTCTGCTCTGCTACACAGGGTGGTGCTGAGTGGCGAAGCTTTGTAAATCTCAGAACTGGATGAAAAGCAATACAAATCCTTAAGCAGGTTAAAAACCTCTACAGTACTTCATATGTATTTTATCTGTGTTCTGTGTTTGTCTAGAATTCTGTTTTAATTATATTGTATTGTATTACTGCCCTTTTTACTCTGCTTTCTGTCTTAATAGGATAAACAATATATATATACACAGTCTCACCGGCCACTTTATTAGGTACATCTGTTCAATTGCTTGGTAACACAAATTGCTGATCAGCCAATCACAAGGCAGCAACTCAATGCATTTAGGCATCTAGACATGGTGGTGAGGATGACTTACTGAAGTTCAAACTGAGCATCAGAATGGGGAGGAAAGGGATTTTAAGTGACTTTGAACGTGGCATGGTTGTTGGTGCCAGACGGGCCGGTCTGAGTACTTCAAAAACTGCTTATCTACTGGGATTTCCACACACAACCATCTCTAGGGTTTACAGAGAATGGTCCAAAAAATATCCAGTGAGTGGCAGTTGTGTGAACAAAAATGTCTGGTTGATGTCAGAGGAGAATGGGCAGACTGGTTTGAGATGATAGAAAGACAACAGTAACTCAAATAACCACTTGTTACAACCAAGATATGCAGAATACCATCTCTGAATGCACAACAAGTTGAAAACCACACCGGGTGCCACACTTCTGACAGCTAAAAACAGAGGCTACAATTTGCACAGGCTCACTAAAATTGGACACTAGAAGATTGAAAAAATGTTGCTAGGTCTGATGAGTCTCGATTTCAGCTGCGACATTCAGATGGTAGGGTCAGAATTGGGGGTAAACAACATGAAAGCATGGATCCCATCTGTGGGAGGTTTAATGGATGTGCAGCTGACAAATCTGCAGCAACTGCGTGATTCGATCATATCAATATGGACCAAAACCTCTTAGGAATGTTAGATTGTTGAATCTACGCCACAAAGCATTAAGGCAGCTCTAAAGACAAAAGGGGGTCCAACCCTGTACTAGCAAGATGTAACTAATAAAGTGGCTGGTGAGTGTGTATTGGTTTTTCTGGTCAGAAATCACATGTATATGGTACATTTCCACTTTAAGGCATTTATCAACAATTATATATCTTTTGTGACAGACCACATATTAGGACACCATCTTGAAAATGTGCATTAGTGAAACCTTTCCCCACCAAACCTAAAAATCCGAACCACAGAGGCTGCAAAAGGCATAAAAGAAAGTCCAATACTTGTAACCAACTTTACTGTTTTCACTTAAAGATCGTATTGCTGTTAAATGAATGAGGAGGGAAGGTCCACTAAAAATCGAGAAATGCTAAAATCTTGCCAACTACATCTGTCCTTTGGGTTTCCAGATTAAAAGTTTAAATAAATGTCTAAGCGCTTGGTGCTGGGCTGTGCTTTTTCTTCTTTCCTTTGCAGGATTTACAGACACAGCAAATAATGCATGGTGATGCCAAAAGTAGTAAGGGTGATGTCACAATAGCAATGATACCAAGGCCAACTAGGATCCCCACAACCTGCATTAAAAAAAGTAAAAAAAGATCATAAAAATCTGACAGTAATACAGAACAATACATTGTATTCTTACATACAGTACAACAAATGTTAAGATTAGCTAACATAAAACAGCTTAGGCTGGGTTCACACTTGAGCGTGTGGTTGTGTGGGGTGGGAATCGTACCTGTTCCCGCAAACAATTGCAGCCAAATCTGTAGAGATGCAAGGGGCTGCCATTCATTCTTAATGGCACCCCCATGAATCTCAAAATGCAGCACGTTTGCAGGTGCGGTAACCACACGTTGTCACAGCCACTGTCAAGCATCCAGGAAGTGATTCTTGCACTTCCTGAATGCCTGTTTTCTTTTTTGGGGCAAACAACAATTTGGACTGATGCACCGCAATTGCAAGCCAAATGTTTGGCCTGTCCGATTGACTTGAATGGGCTAGTTTGTCAGGTGGTGCTACCTTATCAACATGACATGCCACTTTAAATTTGTTGCAGCCGTGACGCTAAGTATTGTGGCCACAGGATGTGAACAGCATATAAAATAGGCATTAGGTAAGTGGTTGGGGGACAGTAAAACAGCAGTTTACCTGCATGTGAAAGAGGCCTTAGCCATATTAAATAGCAAAGTTCATAACATGAATCTGCAAGTCTTGATGAAGACACACGCCATCACTTATTTTCTGGAAACAAATCTTAGGCTAGTAATAGTGCATACTAAGTACAGTATATGCTCTGATACTGGACCCAAAAGGCATATAGGGATCTGAACACCAACTACCAATTTTGGTTCAACTCATGACTTCCTATGACAACACAATGGGAGCAGCCTTGCCAAGCCCGGAAAGTGCATTTAAAGCGGTATTATTTATTTATTTAATACAGGTACTTGTTGCAAGCAATATTAATGTGTGTGTTTTTTTTCCTGCTTTTTTATTCCAGTAAAATCAACAGTGAGCACTATTACTTCTCCAAAGAAGAACAGGGCCATCACCAAAGGATACTTGCAAAAAACTGGAGCCTCACGAAGTGAACAGGGTATGCACAAGGGGCAGCCCTAGCAAATGTTTTTGTCATTGTCTAGGTGGAGTATCTAGGAATACCAGACCTGTGTCCTGTGCTGTCTGATTAGGAAACAAAGTTTTGCCTTTAGTTATACTTTATACTAACAATTCAGTATTTTTATCTTTTATTACATGCAATAAATAGTTGCTTTGCAGCAAGGGATAAGGGTTGAATACAAACAGACTAGTATATTCTATCCAAAGGGACAGTTCTATTAAGAGTAGTAAAAAGAAACTGTCATCAAGGATTAATTTGGAGATCCTTAACTTTAAATTACACCCAATATTGAATTACTATTATGTTACTAATGCAGTCTGTAGTCTGCTCTTGGGGCCAAATGAAATTCTGCTGCTTTTGTTGCTGTTGTCAGATAAACAGAAATAAAAAACAGTGAATTAGACCAAAAACATAAAATTGTGGAAAACTGGCATTGTCTTAGATATCATCATCATCATACCTGTACAGATCAAAAAAAAATGAATTAGCCAGGATTTTTTATTCCTATACTATGATACACCAGACAAAGGTGATATAAAATAAAGGTCAACTGTAAGTTGTTATTCAAATTCAACACTTGAATATACAGTATGTATTATACATAAATTATTAAAGTAACAGTAAGGCCTCTTTAAAATGTGTATTTGTTCCTACAGCCGTTCTGAACATTGATTGTGGTGAATCTTTTCAGAGCCAGTTTGCAGGCATTCATGAGGCAATACTGCCAAATTTTGAATGCCTGTTTTATTGTACTTGCCTTTTTTCAGCAAAATAGGGATTTTGCATTAGCATTTGCTTGGCTCACACTTGCCACACAGTCCCATTGACTTCAATAGGCGAGTCTGACAGGCCCTTACATTTGTCAAACTTGACATGCCAATTTAAAATTGCCAAACTGCAAAGCGAATCATTGCAACCGTGGCAATATGTACTCACCCAAATGGGCACCATACTCGCTTAGAGGTGAGCGTTGGAGGAATCAATAAAAACGTGGATCAAACACGTGTTTATACTGCCCCTCTGCTGCCCGTGTGGCTAATGCGATATTTTGGGCCTACAATAATTTTTAACATTATTGTGAACTTCTGCTAGGGGTCTCAATTCCTGTAACTTATTTACCATCTGTTGCATCACCTCAACACCCCCCCTTAGAAGGTTTCCTGTAGAGGTTTATGACAGTATGGCCACCTGGTTGAATAAGCCCTGGAGTAGTCATTTCTAAAACCTCCTAGGGAGTATTGTCATAGATCTTTATGCGGGAACTGGCTTCAAAGGAGGTATGCTTTGCTGGACATTGGCCTATACAGTTGGCCAATATCTTTCACAAGTCACAGAGCCCCTTTGAACAGAAAAGGCAAAATAGTGGAACCCATTGAAAGGTGTAACTACCTGGAATAGAGGGGGAGGTGGTATACAGTATGCCATTGCTACATTTTTGCCTCTCTCCTTTTCCTCTGTGGAAGCCCAGTCATCAGGATGTCTGCGTAACGTATTATTCTATGTTTCTTTTCTGCAACTTTCTTTCCTGTAGTCATCTCTTTGTATTGGTAACATTCTGTATTTGCATTGTAATATTACTACTTTTAAAATTATACAAGCTACATTATATTTTGTTATATTTGATTAATAACAAGCTTCTTTTCTGTGTAAATAAATTAGATCTTTATTTTTGCACAGTTGTTATCATTTGATATTAACATTATTGGGAATAGCTACATCAGGATTGGTTAAATTCATGTATAGACAAAAGGTTGTAATCACTTATTACATTTATAATCTTTGATAAAATTAAATTGAATAAGTATGGTGGCAAAACCGCCAAAACACTAGGCTTATCACAAATCTCTCAAATTCCCCACAATGGTAAAAGTGCAAAATGTATGCAGCTGAGACCACTTCTCTCAATATGATTTTCTACGGTTTCAATTAAGTCACTACAATAACTGTGAAAACTAAGAAGTGGTCATTGGTTTTTTTTAACTTGAACTGTTCATCACCCCTGTATTTCTCGTGGGTAGAACATGAGTGCAGCTTGCATAGTTTCATATATACCCAAGAGAGGTCTACAGCTGAACTGAGAGCCTCTTCTTCCCATGAGATGCTACACCTAAACTATGGTTAGGGCAACTTCATAGTTAGCTTTGTTCTTTAGTCATTTCTGGGTACATCTCAATGTTGGTATGCTCATACATTTCAAGTATACACTGTAGAAACGTTAACAGCAGTATGTACAGTCATTTCCACAAACATGAATTATACTAAAGGGTATCACTCTTCTATATTGCTGGAAAATGAATTGTGCTTACCTGTGTTCTATTCCACATGACTGAGGCTCTTGAATGTCCGAGTTTATTCCTGCAGGGACCTTTGTCATAATGCCGCAGAAATATGTCATTCTACAATACAAGAACAAGACAAGAAAACAAATTTATTGTATATTGCTGTAAGTAAAAATAGTGAGGGTTATTCAACAACTTAACATAGGCGGTTTGCTTTACTGGCCATGTGCTTCATTACCCAGTCACAAACACTTCCATACAGGCCCATATCTGCATTCTAAGGTCACAGCAACCATATAATTAGCACAAAATAATTGCTGCCTTGGTAGCCTATGTTACTATACAAATTACTAATTGGTTTCAGCTTTTAAAAACTTACGGTGCAATATGACTGTTTTTGGTAGAAATTATATTTTTACATGGCAAATAATTTACTAGCAGGTGTAGTAGAGTAATAGAAATCCAATAGACCCAACAGTCGGAATTCGTCACTCCAGAGAACACGTCTCCACTGCTCGAGTCCAGTGGCGGCGTGCTTTACACTACTGCATCCGATGCTTTGCATTGCATTTGGTGATGTAAGGCTTGGATGCAGCTGCTCGGCCATGGAAACCCATTCCATGAAGCTCTCTATGCACTGTTATGCTAATCTGAAGGCCACATGAAGTTTGGAGGTCTTTAGCTACTAACTCTGCAGACAGTTGGCGACTTCTGCGCACTTCAGTATGCGCTGACCCCACTGTCATTGTTCGTGATCTACCACTTCGTGGCTAAGTTGCTGTTGTTCCCAGTTGCTTCCACTTTGTTATAATACCACTAACAGTTGACCGTGGAATATTTAGTAGCAAGGAAATTTTACAGACGGATTTATTGTACAGGTGGTAACCTATCACAATACCACACTTGAATTCATTGAGCTCCTGAGAGCGACACATTCTTTCACAAATGTTTGTAGAAGCAGTCTGCATGCCTAGGTGCTTGGTTTTATACACCTGTGGCCATGGAGGTGATTGGAACTCCTGAATCCAATGATTTGGAGGGGTGTCCCAATACTTTTGACAATATAGTGTATGTGAACCAGGGTCTAATATGATTATGCACAATGTCAGAGTAGTTGTGATGAAAAAATGAGAAACAGACATTTCTGGTTATTTGACGATTCTCACTTTCTGCATGCAGTCCTGACTGGTCTGTTGAACCACAATTGCCTGGTTTGTAAATTGCATCAGCCAGGTGCATGTATTCTGTTTCTCCACAAATTGGACAAATCTACATGCATATATAGAAGTGCACTGAATTATTCACAATTTGTTGTTTTACCTGCTTTCAAACTAATTTGCTCATCTATAGTTGGGAGTTTGCTTTGCCATTGTTTCAAAGTTATTGTGGATTATTTTGTAATAAAGTCCTGTCATTAGAAGTTGTTTTTGTAGTCTCCAGTTGGGCTGTTACATAAAAGCAAGGAAGGGAATCAAACAATGGGATAAGTTCAGGTATTTCATGTTGTGAAATAGTCCACATAGCTGTGTGTGTTTAGGTTATGTAAAATATAAAGTTCATATGCAGGAACTACACATCATTAATCAGAAGGATGACTAACCCCCCCCACCACAGACTAAAATACTCCCATGCACAAGATTAGATTTGCACATGCTGTTATGTGAAACTAAAAGTCTTGAAATATTACATTTGGACAATCAAAGCGATTAGGGTTACTTAAAACCAAAAACGGAACTAAGATACAACTTTTTTTCTAGTTTTAAACAGAGTGGGGAATTTTTAAAACCTCTGACAGGTTTTTATTGATCAAAATGTGAGAAAAGCAGCATGTGCCACAAGAATCCCCAGAATGCATGTCACCATTGATCATGGAGTTCAAAGAAGATTTTAATTAGTTCAGGTTAGAATGGAATAAAACAGCTAGGGTGCTGTGCTACATGACAGCTTCACGAAACTAGTCAGCTCTATTGATTAAATGGGTCACTCACAATACAGGATATTAAACAGAAGATCCAGTGCCTCTTATACACATACAGTGCCTTGAAACAGTATTCATACCCCATGAAATGTTCTACATTTTGTCATGTTACAACCAAAAACGTAAATGTATTTTATGTGATAGATCAACACAAAGTGGCACATAATTGTGAAGTGGAAAAAATGATAAATGGTTTTCAAATTTTTTACAAATAAATATGTGAAAAGTGTGGCGTGCATTTGTATTCAGCCCCCGAGTCAATATTCTGTAGAACCACCTTTCGCTGCAATTACAGCTGCAAGTCTTTTTGGGTATGTCTCTACCAGGTTTGCACATCTATAGAGTGAAATTTTTTGCCCATTCTTCTTTTCAAAATAGCTCAAGCTCTGTCAGATTGGATGGAGAGCGTCTGTGAACAGCAATTTTCAAGTCTTGCCACAGATTCTCAGATGTATTTAGGTCTGGACTATGACTGAGCCATTCTAACACATGAATATGCTTTGATCTATACCATTCCATTGTAGCTCTGGCTGTATGTTTAGGGTCGTTGTCCTGCTGGAAGGTGAACCTCCGCCCCAGTATGAAGTCTTTTTCAGACTCGAACAGGTTTTTCTTTTAAGATTGCCTTTTATTTGGCTCCATCCACTCTTGCCATCATCTGACCAGCTTCCCTGCCCCTGCTGAAGAATAGCATCAACACAACATGATGCTGCCACCACGTTTCACGGTGGGGGTGGTGTGTTCAAGGTAAAGTGTGCAGTGTTAGTTTTCCGCCATACATAGCACTTTGCTTTAGGCCAAAAAGTTCAATTTTGGTCTCATCTGACCAGAGCACGTTCTTTCAAAAGTTTGCTGTGTTCCCCACATGGCTTCTCGCAAACTGCAAACAGGACTTGTTATGGCTTTCTTCTTGCCACTCTTCCGTAAAGGCCAGATTTGTGGAGTGCACGATTAATAGTTGTCCTGTGGACAGATTCTCCCACCTGAGCTGTTCATCTCTGCAGCTCCTCCAGAGTTACCATAGGCCTCTTGGATGCTTCTCTGATTAATGCTCTCTTTGCTTTAACTGTCAGTTTAGGTGGACAGCCATGTCGTTAGGTTTGCAGTTGTGCCATACTCTTTCCATTTTTGGATGATGGATTGAATGGTGCCACATGAGATGTTTAAAGCTTGGGATATTTTTATATAACCTAACCCTGCTTTAAACTTCTCCACAACTTTATGCCTGACCTGTCTGGTGTGTTCCTTGGCCTTCATGATGCTGTTTGCTCACTAATGTTCTCTAACAAACCTCTGAGGGCTTCACAGAACAGCTGTATTTATACTGTGAGTAAATTACACACAGGTGGACTCTATTTACTAATTAGATGACTTCTGAAGGCAATTGGCTCCACTAGATTTTAGTTAGCGGTATCAGAGTAAAAGGGGGCTGAATACAAATGCCCTCCACAATTTTCAGATATTTATTTGTAAAAATTTTGAAAACCATTTCTCATTTTCCTTCCACTTCACAATTAGGTGCCACTTTGTGTTGGTGTATCACATAAAATCCCAATAAAATACATTTACATTTTTGGTTGTAACATGACAAAATGTGGGAAATTTCAAGGGGTACGAATACTTTTTCAAGGCACTGTACTTTGGGTTTTTATTGCTGTGTGTTTTTGCTACTGGAAAGATTTCCCTCCACTTTCTATCTTGATGACAACAGGACAGGAAATGGATCAATCCCACAGTGATAACATAGGTAGGTATAAAAAAACATGCAAATGTTTTAACTATTTTCCACTCTATTCCGAACTAAACAAAATACTTTCTGCTCATACTTTAGTCATGTCTCCTCTGTATATCATTTGAATACAGCATGTTATTGTCCAGCATGTATAATGATAACAACAGGATTTTTTGTACTTGCCATGAAATCCATTTCGTGAAATTCATTAAAGAAGTACTCCGGCAAAATGTTTATTTGCCCATGCAGTATGGCTGTGCCTACATGGGTTAACTGCTTGTTTTGTTCAGGGGAGCAAGGAAAAGCTATACTTATCCAATCCTTCAATCCTCCGGAATACAGGGCTCCCCCATATAATGCGGTGGACTGTTCCTGTCGTCCTCACATCCAAAACTGGTCTATGGGCGTAATGACATCAGGAACAGCCCATTCACAAGATCGCTAGTGTGCAGGGGGGCAGGAGTGGTGGGGACCAGCCGATGATGATCAGCAAATTTTGGTAAGTATATCTCCACTCTCCTCACCCCTAGGTAAAAACAAGCAGTTAACCAATACAGTGTGGACACAGTTCATGCGAATCATAAGTATCATCATAAGTACAATACATTACAATACAATACATTAAATTATCGCATGAGTTGTATTCTGTATTACAAGAATTTTAGTAACTCTAGTAACCTATTTGTTTTCTATATGAGACTAGCATGCAAAAAAAAGTGTACAATCATTTGTCCGATATTCTCATTGTCTATACAAGACTTTAAGCCTACATGTCTAAACCTAGACTTCAGGGACATTAAGTTAGGACAAAGTAGGTATGTTAAGACAAAAGTCAATTTTATCCCATAATTGGACTTCAAAGATAAGAAATTTCTCATTAAAAGAAAAACAATGCAAGCCAAAATTATAATGTTAGTCCCCAATCCTCAAGAGGAGCCATTTCCAAATGGAGGAAGTAGAGGAGGTCTTTGTGTTAAACTGTTACCTCAGTAAAAAAAGAGCAGAAATTTTCAAAGAAAAGGGCGATCAAAGGCTAAAGTTGTCACACAACACTGTTTGCTGCGACACACCAGTATATTCAGAATAGATGTAATGAATTATATTGTATTTTTGGACAAAAATTGTACTGATTAAATGAAAATCGTACGATCTGGTATCGTACGAGAAAACTTTTAGTGCTTGTCCCTTCGAATAATGTCGGACGAATGCTGATTATAAGCTATGTTGTCACTATCTTCCCAGTGCCTGTCGGAGTAAGAAAAGGAAGAATAGTCCTGTTAACAGGTTATATGAAGCACACATCTACTGTAATAGATCTAGAGGCAAGATGGTATAGGCCAGGGGTAGGCAACCTGCGGCTCTCTACATTGTGGAACTACATTTCCCATGAGGCATTGCAACATTACA